GTTCCACTGTTCTCAATGATCTCTGAGGAGTAGTGTTTTTAATATGTTATAGTCACTTTCATGCTGTGGCTAATAATACCAACCAGTAGTCATGTCCTCCTAATTCAAGTGGACTCATTTTAAGCTCCTTGTCAGGGCAAAGATGGACTTTCTCTATTTCCTGGTGGCCAGGCTCCAGTGTTATCCATGTGAAAGCTTTGGGGTGAAAGGGAGGAGAGCCAAGGGACATGTCACTAGGTTTAACAGCAGACCCATCAACTATGAATCTTTAAAAATCATTTCCATTTTCTGGGTCATCATTTATTACAACGAAGACAATAATAATAGTGATAATTTTAAAAGCTGAGAAAACTAACCTCACTGTCAAGTAAATTCTGACTCATGGTAACCTCATGCTTGTTGGAACAAAACTGTGCTCCATAGGGCTTCCAATGACTGTGATCTTTCAGATGCATATTTCTGGGCCTTTGTTCTAATGTGCTTCAATGTAGATCCAAACAGCTGACATTTTGGTTAGTACAAGGGAATCTAACCATTTGTGAAACCCAGGGACTCCTGGAGATAATAATAACCCTCAAAAAAAAAAAAAAAAAAGAAAAGAAAAAGCATGAGGTCCCACAATTGAAGGGGTAGAGGAAGAGGAAAGGTAAAGGAAATGGGAAAGATCTGGTGTTAAAAACAATGTTTACAAACTTTGTACATAAACCAGTAAAAAATAAAAATTTTCTTTAAAAATTGAAAGAAATTATTCTAATGTATATTGTATATAAAGTAATTGGGGTGGGTGTATTGCAGACAGTGAGATTGGCACAGGACAGAGCAGAATTTAGGGCTGTTGTACATAGGGTCACTATGAGTCACAAGCGACTCAATCGCACATAACAACAACAACATAAAGTAGTAGAGAAAAGATATTTTTAAAAATGTCATAAGGATTAAATAGGCAATGTCTCCTACATAGTAAGTCCTCAATTATATTAATTTAATCATGTTCCAATAATATCTATACTCTCTAATAATTGTTGTCAAATCAGAACTGGCTCCCAGTTAACCTTCCAGCAGGTTTTCTAAGGCTGTAATTCACAAAGGAGGAGATTCTCCATCTTTCTCCCACAATGCTGCTGGTGAACCACAAAAGAGATGCCATGTTTGGATCAGCAGCACAACACCCTACACAGTACACTACCAGTAATAAACCTTAAAAATCTTCCTCAGTGATTTCTTTTTTCTTTCTCAGAACTATTTATCCTTAACTTTGATATTTTATTTTGTCCTATTACTTGACGCTTTCTCATACAAGTTTGCCTCCATGCAATGGGATTGTTAGCTCTCACAGGAAAAAAAATTAGAAGTGGTCCTTGACTGCTCTTTCTCTCCTCTCCCCAATCTAATTCATCTTAAGGTTCTATCTCTGCATCTTCAATTCTATCTGTTCGTTCTATTTCTAATTCATCTTAAAATTCTGAGGTCCTTGGTCTTATGAGTTGAATTCTGTCTCCCACCAAAACTTGTGTTGGAAGCCTGTAACTGTGCACATACAATTTAATTTGGAAATAGAGGTTTCTTTGTTAGTTAATGAAGTCAAACAGTGCAGCAGTTACTATGTGCCACTGAGTCAGAAGTGAACTTCAAGTATGTTTTCAGAGGCTGTAAATTGCATGGGAGATTGTTCATTTTTCTCCTGCAGAACAGCTGGTAGATTTGAACTGCCTGCCTTTGAATTGACAATGCAACGCCTTATCCACTAGGCCATCAGAATTCAACAGTGTAGAGTGTGTGCAAACATAATCACACTCGATTTTCAGAAGCAGCACAAACACAGAGGTAAAGAGACAAAAACAAAGGATGACATGTGAAGGTCACCAAGGATCCAAGGAGCACTGAAGGAGACAAGAATCTACCTTTCAGAATTAAGAAAGAGAGGCTTCTCCTGTTACTGCCTTTTGATCTTGAAAAAATACATTTCTGTTTAATTGTTTTTTTAAATTTATTGGTTTTCATGTAATTCCTTTACATTATGTTTTGTCCACATATTCTTGTTGTTATGTGTGGTTGAGTCTCTTGCAACTCATAGTGACCCTATGTACAACAGCCCTAAAACCTGCTCTATCTTGTACCAACTTTATTTTCTCTGACCACCTACCCCGATTACATCAATGAATCAATTCATCTCATCGAGGGCCTTCCTCTCTACATTTTTTTATTTACATTATGTTTCATGCAATCATTTATATACACTCTGTTTTACATTATTTTTTAAATTGACTTGCTTACAAAGTTTATGTATATTGTGTTTCACACTATTCATTCTCATTGTGTTTCATATAATCATTCTCATAGATCATATTTTATAAAATCAATCACCATTGAACCTTGTTCATTATTACCCTGTCTTTTCACCCGGATACTTCCCATTTGCTTTCCCCCCTCCATCCACCCACGAAACTGTGAAGCCCTGTGGTTTCACCTCTATTTATCCTCACCTCTTCACTCCCCCCTTTCCCTCTTGATTTCCTGTACATATTTTACTAGTTATCCTTCTATTTTTATAATAATGGTCTTATGTTGTATTTGTCCTTATGAAACTGCTTTAGTTCACTAAATATAATGCTTTCCACCTTCTCCCAAGTTAAGTAGTATTTTTCAAAATGGTTGCTCCTGAGTGCTGTATAGTGTTCCATTGTGTGAATGTACCACAAATACTCATTCCATTCAGTTATTTAAAGCCCCATTCTACATGTGGTGTTAGTGTTATAAAAACCTACATACTAAGAAAGGTCCCTTGCTCCTTTTCTTTTTACACTTTCCCAGACATCCCCTAACCCAAAGTGAACTATGGGAATAATTTCTTTTTTTAAATTGTATTAATTTTAATGAACATTTACAGAGCTTTTGGATTTCCATTCATTCATTGTTGCACTTTTCTCCCTGTACCCCCGCCCCACCAGTTCACTCCTCTCTTCGAAAAGCAAAAGAAAAACTCCTTCATTGGTATACAATCCCCTCCCCCAAGTGTCACCGCCATCCAAGCAGATATATGCACACCCATGTTTATCACAGCTTTGTTCACAATAGCAAGGAGTTGGGAATAACTTCTTAACTGGCTTTCTTTTACAGATTCCACACAACACTCCATTCCTAGTCTATCATTTGCACATCAGCCAAAGTAATGTGTTTAATTTAATGATGAAAAGAGTAAATGTGGGTGTGGGTTGGGGTTTTTTCTGCTTCTACCTTGAGAGAGGCATCTTGTAACCCTTGAGATAACCCTCCAAACCCTGGCAAAGCTCGCACATATTCTACTCTGCCCCTCAGCTCCTGTTCCAGGGACTGCTTCTAGTCCCTCCCCTCCTGGTTAATTTCTACACATCTTCCAAGTCTCTGCTTACATGTCACTGTCTAAGAGACTGTTTCCCTGACCTCCACATCATCATCTAAATTAAATTTAATTAGGACTATTCTATCTCAGCACCCAATTTTCCCCCTTAATAGCTCTCTTGCCATGATTTTTAATTACATCTATATTTGTAAGCTTATTTATTTAAAGCTTGTAGGCACTATTAACATATTAACAACCTCTACTTCCATAATAGCTTGCCTCCGGAAACCCTATGAACCTGGGGAGAGGATGAAAGATGCACAAGTGTTGACGACTTTCCTTCATAGCGTCGCTATGAGTTGCCTGAAACTCGACGGCACTTAACAACAACAAACAACATAAATCTTGTGTGACTTTAAAACTATGGAGTTAATTTTCCAATTCTATACTATTCCCTATATTGGATTAGAAGAGTGTACAGAATGAGAGTATCATTGTTTTGTTAGATCTAAAAAGCAGAGAATACCAGAAATATGTTTACCTCTGTTTAATTGACTATCTTTAGGAATTTAAATGTGTGGATTATAATAATTATAGATAATGTTGCAAAGAACAGATATTTCAGAATATTTCTTGTGCTTATGTTGAACCTGTACAAGAGGCAGTCATTCAAATCAAACAAGAATATTTGGATGGTTTAAAAGAAATGAAAGACAGGCCTGAGGGCTGCAGGTGACTCAACGGCACTTAAGAACAGTAACATCAAGATAGAGAGAAATCAGTTGGCCCAGTGGACAGGAAGCGATGCTACCGAGCCAAATGTGGGTGACTTTCATTGTTTTTGTTCAAACATTCCTCTAGGTAGTATAGCTCTGGTGTGTCCACTTGCTGCACAGCAGTAACTTGTGGTTGCTGTGAGGCTGAACACTGTGAAACGATGTGTCAAACGTGTTAATGGTTGGTTACCCATGACAGACAGTGTTGGGTGGAGCTCTTGATTAAAACAAGCTTGGAAGCAGGAGTGGCATCCACTTCCGTAATAGCTTGCCTCCGGAAACCCTATGAACCTGGAGAAAGGATGAAAGATACACAAGTGTCGAGGACTTTCCTTTCATAGGGTGGCTACTTGATGGCACTTAACAACAACAACAACCTCCTCCACCAGAGTCTCCATAAGAGATACAGACATGATGAGGAATATGTCTGAGTCTATCTTTTAATCTTGCATGTTCTCCACACAGCACAAGGCCAGGATCGTAGGCTGTATTCATGGGAAGAAGGGTTATAAGAAGAGCCCAGATTTCTGGGGCACAGAGCCACCACAGCCCAGTGCTGTTCTTGGTACCCAGCTAAAACTTAACCACTTGCCTTGTGTTACCTCTTGATTTTTAAGATTGTTTCACCAACAGAAGTGATTTGTTTGTTTAATCTGAGTGCCTCTATTTTTACCTTTGTTTTGGTTATTTTTTAAAATTTTATTTTCTTTTTTTATTTTATACTGATTTATTTACAAAGCTCAAATACATTGTTTTTCACATGGCCTTGGAAGGCTGAGAATAATTTAGTCAAGAGTCTCAGACACAGTTGCCAACTTGGAGGTTATCAAGAATAAAGGCAAACAGAAAGTTTTAGGCCACAAGAAGTTAAAGGGATCCACTAATAAAAAACACAAAGCAGGTACCTGTGGGTGATCTTCGTGGTACAAGCATGGAAGCAGCTTCACCATGACACACACTATCCCAGGGTGAATGATGGTGACCTCCCCTTCTTCCAGTCTAAGGAGAAAGGAAAAGAAGTGTATTACTAGGATCTTCTTTTTTTATTTTAGATTTTTTATTAATTATTTTTAATGAAACATGTATTTTTACAGCATACATTTTCCATTGAATTTTTCCCCATTCATTCATAGTTGCACATTTTCCTCCCTGCCCACCCTGCCCCCCAGTTTGTTTTTCTCTTTGAAGAAAAAAACAATCCTTTCAGTGTTATACAATCCCCCTCCCAAGTCCACAGTCTAATATGCATGTCTTTTTCTGTAATCTTGTCATGAAAATAATGTTGTTGTTGTTAAGTGTCGTCGAGTCATTTGTGACTCATAGTGACCCTATGTACAACAGCCCTAAACTCTGCTCTGTTCTGTGCCAATTGCACTGTCTCTGATTCACCCATGCAAATTACCCCAGTCACAGAATCAATCCACTTCATAGAGGGCCTTCCCCTTCTGTGCTGTCCCTGCACCCTACCAAGCATGATGTCCCTCTCCAAGGACTGGTCCCTCCTTACAACATGTCCAAAGTATGGTAGACAGACCCTCAGAATCCTTGCCTCCAGGGAGCCACCCGGTTTAACCCTTTCCAGGATGAATCTGCTTGTTTTCTTGGCCGTCCATGGTACCCTCAATACTCTTCTCCAGCACCACAGCTCAAAGGCATCAATTCTCCTTCTATCCTCCTTAGTCACTGTCCAACTCTCTGATGCATAACAAGTGATAGCAGAGACCATGGCCTGTATCAGACACACCTTAGTCTCCAGAGAGACACCGTTGCTCTTCAGTACTTTGGAGAGGACCCTAAGAGCAGACTTGAAAATAATACCTAATACTATATTCCTTTTAAACAGTTTTCTCCCTCTTCTTATGGAGTTCTCTCTTCTTGCCCATTTCCACTTAGGTATCTGTGTCAGTATAAAGTGTAGCTTAAAAGCAGGAGAAGTACATGTCAAGATTACATAATGTTGTTATATTTATTAAATTTGTGTGCTGAATAAGAAAGAATCAGAGATACTTGGCATTATTTAAAAAACCCACAGTTTATAATATGCAGGTGGCAAATTCCTGTCTTCTGAGACGGAAAAGGACTTGAGGCACTTATCGATGAAGGTCGGCAACTCCATCCTTTGGTATGGCTTATACTTTAACACAAAGAAAATGAAAATTCTCACAACTGCACTAGAAAAAATTACTGAAGCTGTCAAAAAATTTCTTTTACTAGGAACAACATTCATGAAAAGATTAGTAAAGAAATCAAATAAGTCACTGAGTTGGGCAAATCTGAAGCAAAATTTCTCTTCAAAGTGCTTAAAAAGTAAATGAAGACTAAGATGTATCTTGCCGTGGACATGACATTTTCAATTGCCTTATAGGAACAAGAAAGCTTAGCAATTAATAAGAGTGAAGAATCCATGCCTTTGAATTATAGTAATAGCAAAGACTACTGAATATTCTGTGACAGAATAACAAACTGTCTTGAAAAAAGTCTATCCAGAATATTTCTTAGAAGCAAGGATGAAGACATTTGGTTTCCTATACTATGGACATGTTAACAGATAGGACCAGTTCTTAATGAAGGACATCATGTGTGGTAAAGAAAAGCATCAATGAAAAAGAAGGGGCCCTCCATGAACTGGATTGACACAGTGACTACAACAATGGACTGAAGCCTATTGAAGATTTTGAGCAGGGTGCAAGGCCAGGCAGTGTTTCATTCTGTTCCCTATAAGTTTGTTATGAGTTGGAATAGACTATTAACACCTAACAACAATATCTTTTTTTCAAAATTATGAGAACAAATACTTGTCAATACATTTTTATGATGCTAGAATGAATTATCTTAATATGAAAATCATATAATAGAAGAGAAATTATAGCACAAATATTTAGTATAAACAAATAGAGAGGAGAGTGACAGTTTCTGGAGGACAACAGACTCCTCTGTTCTGCCATTCAGGTACCTTGAACATTGCTGTCTAACTACATCATGTGGAGAGCTGAGGATATCTAAAGTACAAGCAGAAGAGGAGTGGTAAAGTTGCAACTTCTGAAGGACAGCAAACTCCACTGTTCTGTCATTCAGGTACTTTGGCCTTAAATACAGTTTTATGTGGAGGTCTGGGAATCTCTTAAGCACAAGCAGAAGAGGCATGGTAGAGCTGCAGTTTCTAGAGGGCAACAGTCAACTTGCTCCATCTCACATACTTTAGACATGTGAATAGGATGGGCCCATCCTTGGAGAAGGACATCATGCTCAGAAGGGTTGAGGGACAACGCAGGAGAGGAAGACACTGGATGAAGTAGATTGATGCAGTAACTAGGGCAGTGCGGTAGATGTATCAGAATCAGTGAGGCTGGCTAAGGAAAGGGCAGGTTTCAGAGCTATTGTACATAGGGTCACTGTGAGTTGCAGGTGACTTAATGGCACATAACAAGAACAACATCATTATTTTGCTTGCATATGATATTAATGAGTTCGATAGCTTCCACGTTCTGTTGGATCACCTTTCTTGGAAATGGGAACAAATATGGACCTCTCCAATCCATTGGCCAAATAGCTGTACTCCAAATTTCCTAGCATAGATTGGTGAGCATATCCAAGGCTGCATCTGCTAAGTGAAACAAGTCACTTGGTGTCCCATGAATGCCTGCGGCCTTATTTATTGCCAGTGACTTCAATGCAACTTCCGCTTCCTCCTTTATTATCATTGGCTCCTGCATATACTGTACTTCCTGAAATTTTTCAGTATCAATAAGTTCTTTCTGGTGCAGTGATTTTGTGTATTTCCTCCATCTTTTGCTGCTTTCTGGATCATTCTGCGTCATATATTGCTCAGAGCATCTTTCAATATTGTGACTCAAGGCTTAAGCTTGATTTTCAGTTCTTTCAGCTTGATAAATGCAGAGTGAGTTCTTCCATTTTCCTTCTCTAATTGCAGCTCTTGGCATGTTCCATTATAATACTTTGCTTTGTCCTGCTGAGCTGCCCTTTGAAATCTTCTTTTCAGCTTTTTCATTTCAGAATGTTTTCTGACTGAGTACATTTGCCCCAAGACTGAAAACAAGGCAAACATGTCCACTCTCACCATTTGCATCCTGTACTATCCTGGACCTCCTAGTCAATAGAATAATAAATAAAAAGAAATAAAAGCCATATAGAAAAAGAAAGAAAAGGCATACAGTTAGAAAGGAAGATAAAATTTTTACTATTCACAGACAACATAATTGTCTACATCAAACAAGTGTGGAATCTATTTTTTTTTTAAATTACTCCTAAAACTAACCAGCAAGTTTAACAGGGTTTCAGGACACATAGTATATATTTACAAATTAATCCTATTTCTATATTTTACTGTTGTTGTATTTAAGTGCCTTTGAGTAAGAATCAACTTGTAGCTGATCCTCAAGGTTTTCAGAGGCAGTTAATCACAGAGATTGTTACTAATGGTGACTTTTGACTAAGTCTGTTGAAGGAATCACTTAATATTGTGGGTCAAAAATAGGCTAGGGGTGTACTGTGGGTCAGACCATCAATTATTCATGTGCAAATTCAAATTGAGGCTGAAGAAAATGAAAATAAATAAGTCCATGGGAGCCAAAATATAATCTTGAATTGATTCCATCTGAATTTCAAAATCATCTTAATAATAGGTTTGAAGCATTGAATCTCAATGATGAGTTACGGGATGATATCAAGAATATCATCCATGAAGCAAACAAAAGGCAGTTGTCATGTGCTGTCTAGTCACTTGAAACTCATAGCAAGCCTATGTATAATAGCCCCGAAACCTGCTCTATCCTGTGCCAATCTTATTGTCTCTGACACACTTACCCTCATGACCTCAGACACTGAATCAATCCATCTCATTGAGGGTCTTCTTTTCTTGTATTGTTCCTTCACCCTTCCAAGCATGATCTCCCTCTACAAGGACTGGTCCCTCCTTGTAACATGTCCAAAGTATGTCATATGAAGCCTCAGAATCCTTGCTTCACAGGAGCAGCTTGGTTTCAACCTTTCTAGGATGAACATTTTTGTTCTCCTGGCAGTCCATGATATATTTAATACTCTTCTCCAGCACCACAGCTCAAAGACATCAATTCTTTTTCTATCATTCCTAGTCATTGTCCAGCTTTCTGAAGCATACCAAGTAATTGTGAAGACTATGATGAGAAAGAAAAAAAACCTAAATGGATGCCAGAAGAGACTCTAAAAACTGCACTAAAGTGTTGAGAAACCAAAACAAAGTGAAATCATGGTGAACAGAGATGAAGAGAAAATTTCAAAGGGCAACTCGAGAAGACAAAACAAAGTATTATAATGGAACGTGCAGACAGCTGGAATTGATGACACTTTACAGCAACACTTGTGTTTTCAAATACCTATATAGCAACTGTGTACAGCAACACCTGTGTTTTCAAATAAATCATTACTGAAATTATAATAAACTAAAAAAGAGAAAAAAATACCTATATAACAACTGTGTGAGAACCGACAAAGGAATCTCATGGAGCCTATTAGTATAGTGACGATCAGAGCTGGACTCACCCTGGCCTATTGAGGACAATTACCACAGATTGCCTTCTCCAAGAGTCTTCTTCTAAAAACTGTAACATTTGCTTAAATGTGGAAGGGTATGTCTCTAGGAGCACGCTGCTTATTGGATCTGGCAACCAGAATAACACAAGGTGGAAAGCCACAGCATCACTTCTCTGTCTAGTGGGCCACACAGACCTTGGCTCTGAGCTGCAGCCATAGCATGTGGGAAGAAATGGTGGGAGAGAAGGCAAAGGGGATGTGTGCAAGGGGTGTTGCTGGCTCCCTGGAGAGATGAAACAATTGCTATGATTCTCCTTCCCACAATTTTTCATAAAGCTGAGTGGTTAACACCTGAAGTTATATTGTGAAGCTTGGAGGCACTGTATTATGTGTTCAACTGGGAACTGAAGGGTTAGGGTTTAAAATCCACCAGCTGCCCCACTGGAGAAAGATGGACAATATCTTCCTGC